AATGAATATATGATAGCATCTTAATGAAATTAAGTCTCTCTGTTATAGATCTTAATCATACAGACGTATTCAGACCCATTAAGTGGTTGTGAAGTAAAAAAAACAAACACACTTAATGATTAAGATCTGAATAATTAAGATTCAGACTTTAAAAACAAACGCACTTAATGTCTGAGATCTAAATGATTAAGATTTAGACCTCCATTAAGTGCAAACAAATGAGGCCTTATTAAGGTTCCCGTTATGGGGAAAAAAACTCTAAAGTTATAACACATATCCAGACTTTGATACATACTCACAATTTTTGCTGCAAAAGTATTGTATTGACATTATGGGGGGAATGAGTAGTCAAGACTCAGATCACATATACAGAAAATATAATAAAACATGAGTAATGACGCTCAAACAGATGCTGAACCAAAGACAAGGATATGACAAACATATTATAGGACTGTTAGAATAAAATACCATATTGCAATATGCAAACTATTCAAAAAGCGTAACATGAAGCGCATAAGACAAGGTTCACAATTTGAGCAAAAGAAGATTTGAGAGAATACAGTCGCATGATATCTTATTCTGGAGGTGAAAGCCAATCTATTGCGAGGATCATATACCTTAGGTTTCACATTTTCATTGTCAGCCAGCACCCAACATTGATCTTTTTCAAGGACAAAAGGCTCATCTTTTTCATCAGTGGACACCATCTCATAGCCTTCAACGGCAGCCAATCTACGGACAAGATAATCATCTGACTTTACAGGGTCCTTGAGAACCACAACATCCCCAACAAATACTTTCCTATGAAAAGCACAGATATGAAGTCAGCAATAGCAAAGAGGAACATATGCAGAAACAGATCCACATAATCGCTTCCACCAAAAGGGAAACAACTAATTTATTAAAACAAAGAGGCAAAGTAAAATGAACATAAACAATAAGATAGCAGTATGATCACCTCCCTACAGCAATTTATGGTGGTAGGATTTCCTTGCTCATAAAATTTGTCCAGGATAAGAAGAAAAGGAAAATAGACTCATCGCACAACTCTCCAAATCATATATGCCATTGAACCCCTAATTTTAGCCAGTAGTTAGGCCAACAGCATGACCAACAACAATTATTTAAAGCTTGATTGTCTATACGCCAGAACAAAGTAACATTTCCTTCGGTAAAGTGCATGAGTAGGAAAATGTAGCTGGCAAATTCAAATGTAACAAAGCTTTAGCAAGAAAGTAATCAATTAACTAATGTGGAGGACAATGACCAACTATTTCTATACTGCAGACATCTGTGAAAACTATTTCTGCAGATATTTGAATTGAGTGTGGTGATGCATAGATCCCCGAAAGAACTGTTTTGTTGCTGGGAAGGCTGCAAGCTAACAAAGGAGATTATTTGGAATACCATTCCAGCTTGCACCGATACTTGTGTTGGTGAAGGTAACATGTAGATGGAAGATTAATCGAGATGTGTGAAAACTAGCTCCTACACTACCGTTATAAAGAAAAATAACTCACTAACTATCAATACTACAAACCTAAATTGTACAGTTTCCTTTATTATAACTATGAGCAAGAAAACCAATTTCTCACTTGAAAATGCCATAAAACCATAAAAGTAGTAACAAAAGAACAATATAACTAATGGTAAAACAATTCTCCCTTGCTTGTTAATGATTCTTCAAGTAAACATGCTACTATAAAAGAAAAGAGAACAAAGCAAAAGTGTAGCACTAAGGCAGAGAAAACCATGCATAAGGCATTAAAGGAGAAGTTACGTTGGATCAACCCAAGGTATCTTCCGAACAAGAAGTGTGCCGCCCTGAGCTCCGAGTGTTGGTGCCATCTCCTCTCCTTTGTTAAAGTGCATAAATGTCAATTTACCCTGAAAGAAATTCTTCCATATGGTATCACCTAATTCTCTATCTGTAATTTGACCTCCTTTGTAGTTCTGCATAGCATTAATATTCAGTTAATCTTTTTCCCTCTACTCAAGAAGTAAAAGTAAACAAATAGAATTTCAAAAAGTAGAAGCTTGACTGATTTTAAGTGCAGAAGAGCAGATGATAATTCAGAATATGGAACCTTGATCTTACACGGCTTGTGTCTTTAACTTTAACATTCTTAATTTGTTGATGATTATAGAATGTTTTGACTTGCATATTGTAGCTTTACAAGTATTAGTTTAGCAAATCTTTAGCACTATTAGAAGGTCAGATTTGTTTCTCTCCTAGTCTTGAGCAGTCCAGTCAGTATTACTTACATTCCCCTATGAGTAGTAATCTTTCCAAGACTAAGTTGGTTCACCACTCCTTTTAAGTTAGGGAAAGTATGGACTCCAAACGTATGCAAAGCTACTGATTATAGGATTCCAATGGTGACAAGACCTGCATTTATTAGTACTCCTCCTCTCTGCTGGACTCAAGTTTCCAAAGTTTGAGCACCAAGTTCAAATCGCTTCTTTACTAAAATATCAGGTTTATGTTTTCATGAAGATAAAGTTAAGAAGGTAATTACTGATTTCTAGTTATTTAAGGGATAAGTTTTAACATAGAAAATTGCAGCTAAAGTTAGAGCAGAGTCACGCTCTCACGTCATATAGGGGGGATTCTAAAACTTGTATGTTTCCTTGCTGTATTACAGATCTTGCAAAAAAAAATTTATTAAGGTGTTATCATTAAAAAGGCATCAAGAACATGCATAAGGAACAATTCTTGCAAGATTACCTCATACTTTCAGTAACTTGGTTCAAATGTTATCAGATAGTAACTCTATTTCAGCTGAACCATGTCAACATAAAGCATGATAGCAGAGAAAACATACAGATTATCCAAGATTCATGAGAAGTGTCAAATGGAATCCAAGGACCAAGTCTCAGAACTGAAAGTTGTTCCTGGAACTATGTATTCAAACATAATTTTCATCAAAAGATTTAAAAGATCAACATGCCTTAGTAGGTTGAACTAATATAGTAGCAGACCTATAACTAGCTAGAAAATCTCATAACAAAAAGCGCCAAAAGACAAGTTCATAGGGGAAAAGATATTCAGTCATGTATGAATCTGTTTTTTCCCTATAAATTGGGAAATATCACTTAGTGAATGGGAAGGCTGTCACATCCCGAGAGAGTGGGAGGATTTAGAATGAAAAACCTCAGGATGTTCAACAATGCATTGCTTGGGAAATAGTTATGGAGATTCAGGATATAGGAGCACGCTCCTTGGAGGGAGGTGATAATAGAAAAGTATTGGATTATCGAGGGGAGTGGAGGAATATAAAAGTATGAATATCACGGTTTCACATAGGTGTGGTCTTTAAAGGAATATTATGAAGGGGTGGGGAGACTTCACTTGCCACATCACTTTCAAGGTTGGTGATGGAAGAAGAATCAGTTTTGGGGACACAGGTGCCGTAAAGAAAACGTGTTAAGAATTGCTTTTCCTAACATATATAGAGTCTCAAGTAAAGCATAAATAACATTGCAATAGATTCAAAGGATATAAGATGGAGGGGAGTGCATTAGGATCTCACATTTAGAAGGAACCTACGGGAGTGGGAGATGGGTGGAATTCCAAATCCTAGTAGAGTTACTAAACAAATAGAATACATCGCATATCATGTCGGATACGTGGAGATGGGAGACGGGATAGAAGGACAGGTCTCAGTCAAATCATATTACCATAAACTATTGGTGAGGAACAAAGAGGATTTCCCGCATCTCTCAATTTGGACACGCAAGCCGCAGAGAAAAGTTTGCTTCTTTGCATGGTTGGTACTTAGGGGAGCGATACTGAGAGCCAAGAACCTAAGGAAGAGGAGGATCACTTGGGTAAAAAGGAGCACTGCTAATAATTAACCTGAGAAGGGGCCTCTTGGTGTGAAATATAAACAAACCGGCTTGGCTATAGCTTTTTTCTATTCCCGGACACATTCTTGCAAGAGCTTCAAAAAATTTACTAAAGTTGCAAGCTTTCAATACTAAAGCTGCATTAGGTTCCCATATTTTAACATCAGAACTCTGAACTAACACCGATGAATATTCTTTTTTTGCATTTTATGAAGTAGGAATGATGTTATTCGGGACAAGGTGGGAGTGGCCCCTGTGGAAAGACAAGATGCGAGAGGTGAAGCTAAGATGGTTCGGCCATGTTAGAAGGGGTAGAACAGATGCCCCAGTCAGGAGGTGTGAAAGGTTGTCCTTGGGGGTAAGAGGAAGGGTAGAGGTAGGCCAAAGAAGTCTTGGGGAGTGGTAATCAGCAGGACGTGGCGCAGCTTGAGCTAACCGAGGACATGACCCTCGATAGGAGGGTGTGGAGATTGCGAATTAGGATAGAAAATTAGTAGATAGTCGAGCGTTTCCATTTGTCTTGCTTAGTTCAATAGTAATAGTACTAGTGTTAGTGTGATATCCCTTTTATCATTAGCTTGCTATTACCACATATCTTGTACTGTTATTACTTGCCAGCAGTACTCCCTTCGTTTGCTATAAATACATATCTTGTACTGTTATTCTTTGCTATCAGTACTTCTTTCATCTTCTCTTTTGCTATCTTGGATTTAGTTTTATAAATATCTTGTATTGCTATTTCTTGCTATCAGCGCTTCTTTCATCTTTTCTTGAGCCGAGGGTCTATCGAAAACAGTTCCCTTCTAGGGTTGGGTTAAGGTTGTGTACATACTACCGTCCTAGACCCCACTCGTGAGATTACACTGGGTTGTCGTTGTTGTTGCATTTTATGAAAGTTCCACAGCTGACATTAAATTTTCTGTGAAGCCTGTTGTGTTGAAGAAAATCATGTCAAAAGACAGATTTATTTATTCTAAAAACCTGGGAGCCCTCTAATTCCCCAAAAATTATAAGTTAATAGCTTTCTCCAGAAAGACCTACTAATCTTTTAGACATATTTGCTGTATCTACAAAACCCGTATACTGATTCAACCCTAGAATCATAGTATGTAAATAATCAATTGTTACATTATAAGAAAAAAGGAGAGTAAATAACCTTCCAGCCAACAGAGGCGGAGTATTCAAGTTTGCTGACAACGTATCGGATCCAGGTGGCTGCAGAGACCATGGCTCACTATCACTTGGCTGCTACTGCTTCTTCTTCTTCTTGTTGTCACCGGTTATAGAGTTTTTAGCATTCCCCCTTTTCTCTTTCTTAAACCCTCATATCCATTTTTCTTATTTATTGTTTTCCTTTTTCTTTCTTTTCTTTTTTGGGTGAAGTCGTAAAGATTAATGGGCAGTTGTGGGCTGGGCACTGATGTGTAGCGGCTCTACGCCTCTAATATTCACCTAATCACCTGCAACCTTAACCC